TGTTCTTTTTCGCCGTGGTGCTCATAGTTATCATGTGGTTTATGACCACCGTAATGTTCTTTCTCACCATAGTGTTCTTTTTCACCGTGGTGCTCATAGTTATCATATGGTTTTTGACCACCATAGTGTTCTTTCTCACCATGGTGTTCTTTTTCGCCGTGGTGTTCTTTTTCGCCGTGGTGCTCATAGTTATCATGCGGTTTGTTACCACCGTGGTATTCTTTCTCACCATGATGTCCTTTTACGCCATGGTTATCATAGTGATCAGGGTACTCTTTTTCACCGTGATATCCCTTTTCGCCATGATGTTCTTTTTCACCGTGATGTTCATAGTGACCAGTAGACTTATCACCAACATGATAATCATGATGTTCATGTTCTCCATGATGGGATGTGATGGGCTTTTCTTGACTTTCATGTGGAGCACAGAGAGTGTGGGTGACCAATACAATGGTCAATACAATAAGCTGAAATAAAACATTTAAATAAATACAAAATCATAATTTATAACACATTAAATAATTAATCGATAAGTTGTACATTACATGTATTACATTTATATATTATTTCTTAAATATTTTCTTGATATAAGAATAAACTTTCGTTATCATCTTAAGAAAATATTCAGAATACTCAAAAAATTAAAGCCTTACACGATCTTAAAAAAATTGAATGATTTAAGTATATGTATATCAATACCTAATATCAATTACCAAAATATAATAAATATTTTTTAATTTAATTTAAGTAATTTGTACGCTATTATAAGATTTAATTTTATAAATGTATTAGTTTTAATAGGAACAATTATTTTTTGAAGGGATAAAAACTTTTATTGATACCTATTTAAAAAAAGATTTAGTAAACGCATTTGCTTATCAAATATTTTATTTTCAACTAACTCTAATAAAAGCGTTTCGGGAGATAAATATGTTCCGTATTAGGAAATAATACTCTATGGTTGGATCATAATCGAAAGACCTTCTCGGTCCACGGTACACCCGATTGACATAGATAATGAACAGTGTTCGGGAAGGTCGACAAGTAAACGAAAATCGAAAATTGTTGGAGTACACGTATTTCGTGTTAAACTTTCATTCGAGTCAGTGACCGCACTCGGAGTCACAAAACGCAAGACACTCATGCGGAAGAACTCTCTCGCGTAGAACAATTGTACCTGGTACCACGTAACTGGTGACATTTTATACCACGAACCTGATTTATTTCGACCGCGGATCATCATCGTCGCGTTATTCCAAACGGAAAACGTGCACGATATAACATTAAACAAACAGGATATCGGATATTATAATTACCAGAAGGTTCATGATGATGAGAGCGCCTCCGTCGATGACAACGATAGTGTCAAAGGTTAGAAACAACGATGGTATCGCCGTGCGGACGGTTCAAAGTACGTTCACTGGAAGACGAGCTGCGACCACTGCAATCGGTCGGTAACGGCGTGGCATATTTATACAAGGAAACGTGCACGTCCGTCGGGAACTCGTCGATCCGAAGAACGTTGCGAAAACACCGCGAGCTTAACGGAGCATTTTATTATTCATCCGGGCAAAACTGGTCGCCGGCGAGTTTATAATGCGCTGTGGGCATTTGCATACGCCACTAATAACAATAATAATAAATCATAATTATAATAAGTGTTGTTTTTGTTTTTGCGTGTTCACCCGCGTGCCTGGTGCGTACGGAAATGTGTATTAATTTATGCGAACGTATGCGAACGTCAACGACCGGGTTGAACAGGATCGCCACGGGGAAACACCTGGAAAACCCAACGAATTGTTTTAAACTCCACGGCGGACGGTCGACCGTGATAAAATCTACGTGCAACGTACAAATATTTATAAATACTTATACATTTATACGTACGCGTGGTATTGTAAGCACGGGCATATGTGTACGGTAAAATCCGTTTTCACGTGAAACCGTGATCACCACCGTGCGTGTTACAAATGATGGCACGGTGAAATCGCTGAATGCACATCACATGTCGTTTTGAGCAGTACTACCGTTTGAATTGCGATCAAATGATCACAATCGTATTTGAATTATAAACGTTGAAACCGGTAAAGTTCATTGGAAAATAAGTTCTATGTACAATGATAATTCTAAGTTTATGAGATTTCCTGTTTTTCGTGATTTTTACAGTTTATTCTCGTAACAACTTCGATTACGTAGAAAAATATTTACCCGTGCAAAGAATAAATTAATGTTAAATATGCGATTAAAAAAAAAAAAAAAAAAAAACTGATTAAGTGATTATAGACTAGTGCTGTTCGCGGTCCGTTGTTTTAAGGACCAGACCGGACTTCAAATTTTACCAGAGGACCAAAGTCGAACCGGACCACACTAAAACGTTAATCAAAGACCAAAATTGGACCTTCATATTATTTTTAGACCGGACCGGACCAGTAATTAAATAACATTTAATAAAGTTGATCGTGGACCGTACTGTAGGTCTGATCTTAAAATATTTTGGACCGTTTATGGACCGATTCGTAAGGTTCAGTCTGTATTAACTCAGACCGTACCTTATGATGCGTTTAGTAATACAATAGCCCGGAATACCCGACTTTATAAATAAATATATACCTAAGGTTGTAGTTTTTTTTCGTTTTATTTGTTTACAAAACAATGTCTGTAATTAGATTTTATGTACCATGATTGGGACCGGACTGATTTTCATTTTTTCTTTTTTTTTTGAAACCGGACCCGACTGAAAATAATGCATTTGATCTAAGGACTGAACCGAACGACTCCTTTTTTTTTTTTTTTGCATTCGGTATCGGTAAGCGACCTCCGAACTGCGTTAACGTAACGTAGAGGTCGCTATCATCGTTTATTTACAATAACAAACATACGATTTCGTGGTGATCGGTGGTAAGACAATCTCTTACTCAGCCCATCTTACAAAAGCGTACAATATAAAGGATGTTTTATCCTTAGAATTTTGCCATTTCAGCGAACAATTATTACAATTATTACTACAATATTAGTTATTCGCTGCCTGCCGCCTCCTTTCATCCACGCACTTGTATTTCATGATTCTGTTGATGAAGGTTGAGATGATGAGCCATTTTGATTTTCCCTGGAGCATGGTGTCCACTAGGTTATCCTGGGTGAGTCTTTGTCCAACTTCCCCAAAAATTTGTCTTCGCCAGTTTTCGAACGCGTCACACTCAACAGGGCGTGACTTGCGTCATCGACAGGTGCATCACACAGTACGCATCTCGGAGAATAACCAAACTACTCCTAAAAATTATTGAACCGGACCAAATCGACGATTCAATAGTTCTTGTATGTTAGGACCGTACTAGACCGGACCATGCAGAGCACTATTATAGACATATCCTAGGATACATAGAAAACGTTCGAGGTTTTCAAACAAGTGACATATCAGTAGCAAAAAAATAGTAAAAACGTTACGTATGATAAATTAAACTTTTTGTTAAAGTTTGTTTTTTGTTTATTTTAAGCTTGTTTAAAATTCCGTTTAATTTTTCTCTTTTTTTTTTTCTGGAAACCTAAACAATAATCTTTCTACTAATGAGCACTTCGAAATATAAAAATATTGATATAATATAATACTTTAATATAATAAACTATAGCACAAGGATCCATCCAGAAATTATTTATTAATTAATTTCACTAGTATATTTTTACTGATATACATATGAATTATGATATACATATTATGTTACAACTTATAATATGATTTACATCTTCACAGAATTTCCCGTTTAGTTTTAATTTAGTAACGGGTCTGGTTGTGACGTACTAAAAACAGCTTTTTAAAACAGGTTTGTAAATTATTTTACTTTAATATTATAATTTTCATTGACTCACATTTTTCAATCAAACCAGTATTTTTCAGAACCAGAAGTTTCTTTTTTTAAATTTATTTAACTTCAATTATTTTTATATACTAAATGTTTTTACAAGATTAAATCTTACAAATTTTATACGTCATAAATTAGCAGACCAAAGCTAATAATATTTTCAGCGTTTAAATTTTTTTTTTTTTTTGCCACCTCTCTGACTATTTTAATATTATAACGAAAGTGATTTGGACTTTAGAGTGACCGTAAATATATCTAACTTATCGTTGTTGTAAAACTTATTGTGTCCGTTAGCATAGATTGAAAGCAGAATTAAAAGATTTTTTTCTGAGATCCACAAGTCATATATATATATATCACAAATAGTTTATAAATAAAAATGTAATCAATGGGTTTTTTTTAGTTCTTTTATCTGCAAAAGCAGCGAGCTAATCCATAAATCTGCCTTTAACTACCTAATTAATAAAGTAAGATATAAAAATAATAATTCTTACTAACTGTAACTGCGCGCAATAAACGAAGTTTTCTCATATTTATACAGAAATCACTTTTTTTATTTTCTCAATTTGGGCTTGATCATGCAATCAGTGGCGGATCTAGTATTTTTTTTTTTTTTTTATAGTGATTGCTATTTTGCTAATAATGTGATCCTTAATGTAAAATTTCGAGATAAAAACAGACTTATAATTTGAGATTTAAATATTCAGAAAAGTCAGTTATGTTATGTGTAAGTATTTTGTTTAAACTCTAGAAATATATGAACTCCCTTAACCCATTTTCCCTATCTCATAAATACCCATGATAATATTTAGAAAAAAAAATGAACGCTAATTTTTTAATACATTCATTTTTTTAATAACAAATAAGACTTACCTATGATATGTACTTATATCATAAAAAGAATTTAAAATTATAAGCAATGTAAATATAAACATATATTTTACATACATAATTGTATTTATAAATTATAGATGTTTTATTATTATTTTTTAATATATCATTGTAATGTAATTTAAACAATTAGAATTTAAATGTAAAAGTCCTCTAATTGCATTCTTCTCTTTTTTTTCTAGAAAACTCATTGACAACGTTAATATCTACAAGTATATTGCAGTCGTTATAAGAGGATTTTTATGTCCAGAAAAAATATTTTTATTTAATATTTAATTTGTTATTACACTATAAACTATAAATAAACTATATATATATATATATACAATAAACATGGTGATATTCATCAAAGTCAATGATTTTTAAACTAAATGTTTAATTTTTCATGATGATTTTTGTTCAGTTTTTAATTTATGTAAATTAAATAAAAAAATCCATTGACAAGAAAAATATTTTAGAAAAAATTAAAATAAAAATAATTTGTTCATTATTAGAACAACTTTGTAAAGCCAATGATATAATTGTGTCTTGGTAAACTTACGTCCTTGTTATAATTGTTAAGATATGATGACCGAGATACGAAATCTCTTATTTTTCAGATTAATCAGAAATATTAAAATGTTAACTTGTAATTAGATGTTAATTAAAATTAAGGATAAAAAAAACCGTGAACACTATAACATTCGCCTAATCTAACCTTCTGTTCAAAACAATGGCGACCAAATAGTAAGGGGGGATAAGGTGGATAAATCCTCCCATAACCATTTTGTTATTTTGTATTATTTTTAATAATATACTGTGTATGTTGATAATTTTTGTTTACAATGGTCTGTCTGATAGAACTATTAACAAATGTTGATATTAATTTTTTCTGTGATACTAACAACCGTATTACTTTAAATCACAAAGAAAATAATAACAACTAGGAAATATGATACATATAGAAATAATGATTAAGAAAAACAAGAAGAGAATAATTTGATAGTAATTATAAATGATATTTCTATCCTAATGAAAAAATTTAAAAGTATTTATAAAACTAATTAAAGTTTGATAAAAAAACATATTTTTCGCGTATTTTTGAAAATTTTGGTTTTTCACAATTTTTTAACTTATTGTAATGTTTGCAATGTGTATACAACCATATATGACAGGGGTGGCGAACCTTTTTAAGTTCAAATGCCAAATTTTTCCTTTTCAGGTTTTGAAAATCGTTTACATGCCCAAAGAAAATTATATTTTCTAAGACTATAAACAAAATTACAGATTTATTACATTATTTTTATTAAACTTAAGTCATTCTTAGTGAAACACAAGTAGTAATTGTTTTTTTGGTAAAAACCTTTCTTTCCTTTTATTTAATTACATTTTTGATGGCAAATAAACTTTCACGAACATAGAGTGACGAAAAATATGGAAGCATAAGAAATATTGTCATTTTTAAAACATATATAATTTGTTTATTTGAATTTCTAACAACCAACATTTTATAAATAGTAAACATTTTTTTTTTTTTTTGTACAATTTTTCAATTTTGTACAGTTTCAATTTCTTGCGCGTGCCATTAAAATTTGGTCAACGTGCCATAGGTTTGCCACCCCTGATATATGATATATTTTTTTAAACCATGCTATTTTATTATATCACTGATTCTAACCAGAATCTCATATTATTTTCAGTTTTCATCATCAACAAAAAAATTAAAAAGTCAATAAATTGTTAATATTTTTTCATATTTATTTTAAAATTTTAAAGATAAAAAAACATAGAAAATGTATTATGAAAATTTAAGAGTTTGGTGGAACAACCAGACAGCACCATTTTTTCAAATTGTCCAAGAGATAATTTTTTGAATTTTAAAATATACGAAAGTCAAATGTTTATTTTTAGTATTAGAAATTATTGTTAATGAGGATACAAAGTATTATATAATTAAATCTTAAAAATAAATTCTAATTTATATATTCCTTGTGTTTTTCAATATTTTTTACTTGAACTATTCGGTTTTGCCGTGAATCGGCAACAAATTTTATTCATATTTTATATTACACGTCATAACTTATACAATTATTACTATTAGTAAAAATTAAAAAAACATTTCATGGAAATTAAATTCAAGTAAGTAGTTAAGTAACTCTAAATGTTAATAAATCAAAAAAAAAAAAAAAAACGAGTAACTTTGCATAATATCACTACATTGTTAAAATTACTTTTTGCGCGTAATGAATATTATTGACAGTTTTCTTTTTTTTGATTTTTTATTAGGTATATACAATCTGTTCCTTTAGGGACAATAAGAATATATGATAATAAAAACAAAATATTAACATGAAAACTTGATGGGAGGAGTCACCCAGTGGTTACACTACCCTAATTGATTTTTTTTTTACTTTATTTACTCGTTGAGAAGATCTCTACACCATTTTCTTCTGAGCCTCCTGGGAGGGTTCCCAAGAATTGTGAGAGTGGCAAGGTTTGAGATGAGAGGGTTGGTATGAGAAGGGAGTTTTGAGTGGAAACGCTTGTAAAAAGTTACTGCTTCTTCGTGGACTGTTTTAATTTTTAGATCGGTGTGTAAGGTTAGGTTTGAAATATAAGGAGGAGAATTTATGATTTTACGAAGGATGTTGTTTTGGAAGGTTTGAATTTTATTAGTGTTGGATTTTTTGGCATTGCCCCAGAGTTGATTATTGACAGTGAATAATATTTTTACGCAACGAATTATTTATTATTATTATGGAACTATAGAACGGCATCAAAACATGTATCATGCCCGATATCATTGATAATAATAATATTATACAGCAAGACCGTTTCGTGTAAAAACAAGGTAGCTCCCAAGTTGTCCTCTTCTTGATCGGAACTTAACCAAATGGTTGTTTCTTCTGCATTATATCGGGTGAAATAATAATCAGATCTACCTGCTTATTATATACCGATTTTTTTTCAATCGGGACATACAAAATCCTCGATTTTGAAGAAAAAAATGGAGCTAGCCTGATTATACCATCAAGCCTTTCAATAATGAACAACGTTTAAAGCAAGTCGATTCAAACATAATACGAACCTGATTCATGATTCGTTCACATATTTTATCAGCTTTGAATGAATCTTAGTATTTTATTGAAACTCCGTAGCAATACGTGTAATATTAAATTATTTTGTTCGATTTCGGAGGTGTAGTCCTTGCATAAATGTATATTACGTTATTGTATAAAAACGTTACTGGCCCAAATCGTGAACCACGTCTCGTAGATATTATTAAAATGCTTTATTTTTTACACAAATGGTATCCTAGCACTTAGTGCTCTCGTAGTTTATTTTTATTTTCATACTGTTAGTGTCATATCATATCGCACTGGGAAAAGATCAATTCTCACAATCCACAACAATTCGGTTAGTCGCAAGTCTAACAAACTGCATCGTGATGATGTTCACTGCCACAGAGATGAAATTCACTTCATCTTCGTCCACCATGTTCCGGGTGGTATGTGCGCTGAGCGCGATGACGACGATGGTCGTGCAGTCGCCAGCGGCCGGAGCGGCACCGCATTCCAACCCGTCGACGTCCGACGAAAGGTCGGCCAAGGTGGTGCCCGTCGTGGTGGCTCCGGTCACGACGAACGCGAGCCCTTTGAAGCGGCTCAGCGAGATTCCTGACCACGGTCACGTTCTACCGATGGTAAGGGACGCGAATGGACCTCCGCGCCGCCACAACCGGAAACACCATGGTGTTGGACGGGTACGCGGCAAGCATGGGACACGTGGTCGTGGGTGGACGCACGGGAAACACGGTAGCGGTGTGTCGAGGAAAAAAGGCCATCGGAATGAGTACGTCGTGGAACGAGAGGTAAGCGATCATACTGCGGTAAACGTCCCTTTCCGGTGGTCACAACTGGTCGTCTTCGTTAATTCGATCTCTACGGGGTGGGGGGAGGTTGAACAGCTTTAAATTGTAACTAAAATAAATAAATTTGATAAACGGTTACGTAACCGGAATCGCGTTTTTAACAGTATTAATCTTTGAATGCAGGTGTTAATCGTCAACGTCTGGGGAGAGCAGACGTTGAGCGAAAAGCCAACGTTTCCAACTCCACCGGTACTGGCAAAGGTCTCGGAAGCGGTCGGTGAACCCTACGGAGGAGCAATGGCTACCGTAAATCGGCTGATTCGCCGTGTCGGCATCACCAACGTCTTGTGGTTGGTGTTGCTGATCCTTTGGACGGCCGTGATCGTATCCGTACACTGCAGTCTACGGTTGGGCAAGACGTTTCGTCCCTGCGTGACGGATTTCGCTGGTAAAATGGAGTCGGCGATAGAGCGGCATCCTATAGCGCAGCTGAAGTCCTTGATCGAACCGAATTCGGAAAATGACCAAAGGTCATTGATCAATTCGGAAACAGGGTTCGAGCTGAAAACATCGGTTTGAGCTACTACGAAAATTCGAGTGTCTTTACATTTGTACCGTGTAGCATTTTTTTTCACTTTTGGATTTATAAAAGTATCCCCCCCCCGTGTTATTTCCCTTTATTTATTTGTTGAACAAATACATTTGTGTTCTTATTGCAGTGAATTCAATGTACAATATTTACTGAATAATCGCAATAAATTATATAATTATTAAACGTTTCAAACAATTGTTGTATTATTTTGGAATTGACGCAACATTTTCCCGGTAAACCACTTTTCATAAGTACACTTGAAAGGAAGCTCAGTATTATAATTGATTTATGCAATACGCGTCGTTTAATATTAACAAATAACACGTGTGCAATTCGATAAACATACGTTGATGATATTGATCTAAAAAGATATAAAAATATCACATAATTTTTTATTTCTTATTTCTGATACATTGTCTGTATGAGAAGCATCATATAATTTTAAAGGTAATCGAATCAAGTTTACATACTGCATACCAGCAGTAAACTCATTTATTTATTTATTTTTTTGAAAAATGCAGTTGTGGAACCAAATATTAAAACCGGTTAAAAAATTAAGAGCACCTGTACCATTATTTCTTAAAATTGTATGATGTGTAGGGAAATGAGATATACATCGTGTACAAATATCGAAAATAAACTGTCATACATTTTTTCTATAAGCATTTGAATATTCAAATATTGATAAAACACAATTGAAATTACGAAAATATGTAACAGTTTGTAATTAAACTGACTTCTATTAAATACAATTAAATAAAAAAATTTCGTATTAAACCAACATACTTCTGTACAATTTTAAAAGCTTAACCACAACTAATAAATCAAGTAATTTGTTTTGAAATTTAACACTAGTGTTGTCACAACTTTTTAAATTCCGTTCTATTATATTTTCTTAAAAGCAATATCATCTCGTATTTTTCAATAATATTTTACGCTTGGTTTTGGGGGCATCTTTGTTTATTCATTATGTTTTCACTTTTACATTTAAAACGATTGAGTATGGTATAAATCTCTTATAAAGTAGATACTGTAGTAGAATATTTTCTAGCTGGCCACTACGTTTCACTCAGACTCTTTAAACCTACAGTTTTCTCATCATTGTTTTTTTAAATCATCACAAATAATTTTAAACGAACATAAAAAAGATATTATCAATAGAAAATATAAACTTAAAATATGAATTTGTGCTGAGAAAAAAAGCACCTTCGGATTACTTCAATGATTCAGGGCCTGGAGCCCGGACCCCTAGTCTCCGTGCTTAATCCGGGCCCAGAGTATAAGTTGGTGATTGGTAAGTACATATTTAGGAAAGAAGGATAGAATAAGGACAGATGTCCTATTATCAAAAAACTAACAAGAATGTTTAGTTGTTCTGTACATTGAATATCAACCTAAGAGATACCTTTCAGATAAATATTCGTTCAAAAAAATTTGATATCGGTGATACTCCAATCATATTTGCTTATCTTTAAACGTCTATAACTATAACTCAATTATAAGCCAAATAGGTGATAAAAATGTTTTTTTTTATTCGTTTTACTATTCCATTGCACTGCCTGTTTATGTAAATTTACACTCATCGTTTCTATTACAAAATAATATTGTAATTTAACGTTATGAGAAAAATTGATATGATCTAAAATTAAACGTTCAGGTAGATATTCGTTCATCTGTTCAATATGATCAAGAAGAATATTTTACTTTTATTGTACACAAAAAAAAAAAAAGGAAATACACTTTCAAATATTTTTATTAAAAAATTATAATCTTACAATACAGCTTTTGCATTACATTTAAAGTACAATTAATAATTTATAAGTAAATAATGTCACAGTAAACATATAATACAAATAATGGCGGCGGTGAAGTTTGAGACGAGTATTATATCGCCTCATAGACAGTATGTGATGTGAATTATCGTAAATATACTAAAATATTAGACAATATTCTTAGTAATGACCATGACTTCCACCGTGGTTACTACCGTGGCCACCACCATGGCCACCTTGGTTACCACCGAATCCACTACCTTGTCCGTGGTTACCACCGAATCCACCACCTTGTCCGTGGTTACCACCATGTCCATAATTTTCGTTAAATCCACCTCCTTGTCCATGGTGACCACCTTGACCATGGTGACCACCTTGTCCAGATCCGGAGTTGAATCCACCTCCATGACCACCCTGTTGGTATTCACCACCCTGTTGGAAGCCACCGCCGTGGCCGCTGTTGTGGCCACCGCCGTGACCGCCCTGTTGGAAGCCAGATCCTCCACCGTGGCCACCCTGTTGGTAACCAGATCCAGATCCACCTCCACCGTATCCTTTGCTTTTGGTCGGGGAGCCGATAACGTAGGCGACCAACACAATGGTCAACACAATAGACTATAAAATAAGAAAACCTTCACGTTAAAATCAATGGGCGCAAAAATACTAAACAAATACATTATATCAATTATATTACGTATCGAACTATAACGCATATTATATTGATACATTTAAAACGCATTGTAAAAATAAAGATTGCGATCATAAAGTAATAAAGCAAATCCACGCAAACTCATTGTGTTTTCAATTAAAGGTAACAAAATGATAATTGGATTCCGTTTGTTTATAAATCGAAGAAAATAGTTAAACATTTAACAGTACGAAATTAAAAACAGTAATTATAGAAAACAATTATTATAGTGAGTGTCTTCAGTGGTTTGTCTTAACTATTAGAACATTGGGCTATGTAAATATTTTGTACCTACTTCAATGTTAAAAATAATTTTAATGTATAGTTGAATATGGTTTTCTTTAGATAGTTGTTCAGTTTCATGAAAATCACACTTGGTGCACAGATACGATTTACTTATATTACATTAATAATATAAAGTACATATTAAGTAAATTTAAATATTGACTAGCAATTCTAACGAAAGATTATTTTTAATTGTACTTAATGTTTAGTCAACTTTTGTCCTTTAAATAATGTTTAAATAAATTGCAATAACCCGAATCGTCAAGCAATGAAAAGTAAATTATATACTAAGACCTTAGTTTGACAGTTCAAAATAAATAATATCACTATAATAATTTTAGTGTAGTTGAGGAAATGTCGAGTACAAGGTTAATTATATGTAATTTTAAATACTATTATATACCGAAAAAATTTCAATGAACTTTTTTTATTCATTGTGATGAATTGTTTTGTTTAAGACTTCCTATTTGATTTTATGTGTGTATTCTTGAAAATGTTGGTGAACTTTGTATATAAAGACATTTCAAATTAAAAGAATCTTTATCAATCAAATAACTGTTATTGAATATTAACCTAATAAAATAGTATGATGGATAGAATACTAAAAAGTTATGATAATATATCAAGTGATAATTAGTATTGTTGATCATGAATAGAAATACCAATATTAAAACAACTATATTTTGTTAACTTATAATCAAATATTGTATGTATAGCAAAACTTAGATAGCATTACATTTTAATATTTAAGTACAATTTGAACTGTAGCATTTAAAAAAAAAAAAATGTCTTGAAGTACCGTTTGGAATACGTGATAACAAAACTGTTCTATATAAAATAACTTATTAAGTTTTAATGTTAAAGAAAAAAAAGAAATTTGAAATAAGCTATTATTTTACTGTTATATAAACCAGTTTTTATTTAAATTAGTTGTACTCAATATGAATTCGCCAAAGAATAGTACCTATATTAATTTTAAACCATGTATAAAATATAATAATATAATATATTTATGTATTCAATATTGTAGAAAATATTAATTATCAGGGAAATTGTTAATATACTTAAACATATAATAACAACTCTGAAATCCTAATAATATTTCTATTTGATAAATTAAAATTGTGTTCTGTAAGTAAAAGAAAATTTTGCATATAAAATACAATTGGCATACAAATAAAACCTACATAATATTGTTTTCAGAAAAGCCATTTAAAACGATTTAATCGTCAATCGAGATAACAATTGAATACATTATACTTTACACTTTATACATATTTAAAAATATGTTTTATGTCAAACTAATCACTATGTTGTTTATATTAAAGAACATTAATTATTGTTATTGCATTTTATGACTTATCATTTTTAAGATAGCGATACGCTTATATGTATGTAATTCAGAATTCGAAAAATTAGTCAATTAATTCTATTGAATTGTCGAAACATTTTTTTAAACTATTATATTTTAACTTATAACATAGAAAATTGCTCCGAACGAATAACAATATACACTAATAATCTTTATTAAATTATATAAATTTCCAAGACTCGTGCAAGCCACAAATGCCAAGTGATGAGCCATTTATTTATCTTAACTAATCTAATTTTCATTATTATGTTAAGTTTTAGCATAAAATATTATAACTATCGTCATTATATTTATATTTTCATTTTGATCTTTTCCCGTTTGTCAGTCTAATGTACCGATATGAAACAAAAAACCCCGGTAGCTTAAGAATCGGTGAACATGTTATAAACTCGTGAACTGTTTTCCGTAAAATTTTTAATCGCGATAAAGATAAATGTCTTGTTTTTGATCGGAATGACATTTGTTTATTTCTTTTCACAATAATAATTATGGTGGAAAGTACGTTCGATGCATTTTTATTACTACGCAGCGTTGTTCTCGACGCGTATAACGATAGTAAATCGGATTTCTGGAATTCGACAATAATTTATTGAAACGCTTTGAAATATCGACAAGTTGAAAACGCGTGTACCGCTCGGGGAACGTTAAAAGAAATCTCTCGGAACGAACGAACGCGTTGCTTTCGAGTATTCGACCGGATCGGACTCTGACGAAACCGTCAGGCCGACGGTATCCCTCGCACGTCGGGTGTACCGCTGACCAGCGGTCGGCAACCTTTTCGGACGTTTAAGCGTTTGCGGACGATACGAAAATCGCATACGATACGCGACGAAATTTCCTAGTGCGAAAAAATAGAATTTCGAGCCCCCGCCCGCCGCCGGTCAGGACCGACGTTGCGGCGACGTCCGAAGGCGAAAAACCATTCGGACGAACGTGTACAAATGCGCAAGTGATAGTTACCAGACGGGCCATGACGACGGAGTTGTTTCGTACGGTTTCTGAGTGGTTACGACGAGCTTTTCGAGCAGTTGGCGGTTCGGTGGACGTCGGTGAACTGTTGCCGTGCCGGGCACCGGGCCGGCGTTTTATAGGAGGAAAACGGTCGCGAAAAACGATGTCGGTCGGATATCGCAAACGCGCGCGCGCGAGGTTAACGTGTCTCGGCTGACCTTTGTGCGTTCGCGCGTCCGCCCGGTGCCCGGGAGAACGTCTCGTGCACGCGCGACCGCCGAAACTGGTTTCCCGGTGGGGAGGGGCCGGGGCTGCGCGAACGTACCGGTCCTCCCCCCCCCCTCCGGGAGCGCGCGAAATAATCGTTTCGCGCACCACTGACGGATCGATCGTCCGAACGCGCAACGATCACGAGCGGACCGCCGCCGTAGGAGGAGCTGCGTCGACGGACGATCAGCGACCCGTTCGCCACCCGTCGGTGGCGGACTTGAACGCCCGTGGCCACCTTGAGCGCGCGCAATGATTTACGTTCGGCGGAGCCGCCTTTTTCGAACAACGAGTTGGCCGATCGATTTTATTTTTCTTCCTTTTCATCGTTGCTCATCGTTGTTGTCGTTATTATTATTATTATTATTTCGTTTATTTTTCATCCTTATTTTCCGCGTCCAGATTTATTGCGAACGTGATTTCCTGTGCCGGCGGCCGAAACGAGTTCAAAACGAATCTCGCGAGAATCACGATCGGTAAACACACACACACACACATACGGTCCAGTTCGACGTGCGTTTCATTTCGCCGGTAAACAAACCGACAGATATTGGATTTGAACGATACGGTTATTATTATTCGAATGTTTCTAAATAATGTCTAACAAAGCCGATCGGTTCGGAAAAGAATACTCGAACACTTACGTAGATCAAAAATCACTGTAATGTCGATTATTTTGTGAAATTCGGCCGAAAATAATTTTGTCGCTGGATTGCAAGTTTCAAGTCACCACCCGTAACCAACAAAACTTCTGTCTAATAATATAACTAATAGAATAAATGACCTATTATTGGACATTATCCACTCGTGATCCGGATATATATATATATGACTATACTGTACAGCAGAGGTGTAGCCAAAGGTGAGCTGCAGACCTTCTCCCTTCCCCCCCCCCCCCCGAAATGTTAAGAAAATTATATTAATGGTCTATGAAAAAGGTAAAAATATTTAAAAGTTTTAGTATTAACGTTTTACAGCTATCTATCTGTGGTAGTAGGTATTTAATACACATAATATTGTGCTTCGGTTGCGAATTGCGAATTCAACTTCAGATTCAAGACTTATAGGACACGCATTATTATCTATTCATAGAGACAATGAAATCTCAGATGATCGAATATTCGATAAATGTATTAACAGTGAACAGGAAAAAGGCTTAAAGGTTAAAATTGTCTCTTAAATTTTTTGTCATTTAATAATAAAATCAGTTAAAAATGTTAAAAAGTAATCCAATAGGTATTGTTAATTGTTTTTATTCATTATATTATATTCATGTTTATTAAGTAGGGGTTTGTTTTATTATATAAAATTTTCGTATATAATCTTATGTCCTATTAAAAAAAAAAAATCATAGTTATTTTTTTTTACTTTTTTTTTAATAAATAATACATGTAAAATAATTTATTTTATATTACTATAAAATACAATATTCAAAGTATTTAAAGTACACAAAAGGTATTATTAAATAAATTTATGTTAAGGGTTCTAGTAACCAAAATCTAAAATATAACTTTGGCATCCACATGTTAGACTTATGGAGAACCTATCTAAACCACCGCTGTGTAAAAATTGATTAGCGCCCCCCGAAAAGAAATTCCTAGCCACGCCACTGCCGTACAGGCATCTGTCTTAGAGTTTCAATATTAAAAGCGTATGTTATAATAACAAAGACCAGAAGTGTTAAAAATGATAATTATAATTTTAAGACCATATTGGTTTCAACGTCGGATTAATTTTAATTCGAATCCTTTAACATAGCTGACTATTTATTTTATTTTATAAAAGGATGTAACCACGAGTATTTATATGTTATATATATATATATATATAAATTACCTTAAATAAATAAAAACGTTATGTAACATGTGCTCGGTCTAGGACCCAGAGCTAATAAAAATGCAGCACCTTATGTCAGTGGAAGTACGAGTGTGTTCGTGAATTTTTTTTTGATTTACGTAAGTTTAAGTCCTCCCTCCTCCCTTAGATCTTACAATGGGTAACAAATATTTTTATGTCGATTGGTTATATATTTTATCGTTCATGGTTTTCTTTAGATCGTTTTACTTTTACCTACGAATTTAAAACACAATAACCAAGAAGTTTCTTAGTTATTATTTCTTATATACAGATACTATTGTTACGCTGAAAATGGTTTGGACTGGAGAGCAGTTTCTTCTTCTTATTACAAACATTTAGTTTTAAAACCATGTTTTATCTATGAAGAACAGAAATTGTATTCAGTGCTCACATACAAAATCTCCAAGTCGACCTTAAGATACACAGGTGTTTCGAAAGTGATCAACAACAAAATAGTACATTCAGAAGTTAGAATATGTTTACCCCTTCCGCCTACAATGACGTCATTATGATATTATTATCTACAATTACGTAAGTGCATATTTATTGATTGGACAATAGCAGTGAAAAAAAGATCTACCGACGTCCAACTGTAATAATATTTTACATCCACTTATAGTCGAAAAATAAAAAAGTTTTTCAGTTTTTTTTTTTATATTAAAGTAGAATCAATACGTACACAAATATTGATGATAGTTAAAGATTTCGATAAATAAACTACATATAAAAGGAAAACTCTTGATGGGAGATAAAAGCAGATACGACTTCGAATATTCCAATTTTCGATATTCCCTTACATTCCCTTTCATCAATAATATGCTTCTTTCTGATTACAGTCGTCCTCGGACTTGTACCGCGATAATATTATGATAGATTTAACACGTATGTGGTTATAATACTGTAACGTCATCGGTTTATTATCGGCATTCGTTGTGAAATATAATAAAATATTATCTGTTATGCACAACGGAATAATTCTGCTCGATCGATCTTCAAAACCGATAACCATTTTTTTTAAATTTTCGTGGATTTCACTATGTTATAATGTTTTAAGATTAATACTCGTACCAAATAAATGGTTTTTATAAAAAAAAATAACATAATTATAATCGTACAAATTTTTATTTCTTGGATTCGTACAATCGATAATATTATGGTTCACAACAATATCACGACGTATGTGTGAAATATCGATATAACTACCGATAATTTTAATAACTTTCAAATGCGGTAGAATAATTGAACAGTTCCAAATTTACGAGTCAAATGTATAGAGGTAGAAGTATGTGTAGTACTTGTACACATCAATGTATACTGAATGAATTCGTGAATTTATAAACATAAATAAATCAACCATTATGAACCATTAATCGTTGTATTTCTTATTGATGGGGAAGTTTTCAATGTGTAGTATTAATATATATTCCTTTGTATTTTGGTGCACCGAAGTAGTGATAATTTTACAAATGTGTACAATAATATTAAAAACTCATTATGTAAATTTATTGGATGACCTCATATTAGTCCGTGAAACGAAATGTTAACAAAAAACGTTTACGCGATAAACCCCGCACAGGTCAAACACATAAACAAAAAACAATTAAAAACAAGTCAACAGTTTTCATTCGTCCATAAGTTTATCCATGCGAAGTAAAAATATATATAAATATGTAGGTATACTATTATACTATTAAGGAAGCTATTAATTGTTATTTTGTTTTTTTTTTCTACGGTACATTCTTTAAACAGGCGAACCACACAGTCGTAGTTTATTTAATTAGGCTTGGTTCTCAGTATTGTTACTTAATACATTATTGTGATAACAATTCTGCAAATAACAACATTATAATAAAATAATAGACACAAAAAAATAATAAACAATCCACTCCGAATAAATAATAATTCATATAGTATTTATGCACAAACGAATACGAATTGTTTTCGTTTTAAAGTGCTTGTTTTTTTAATTAAGATCAGTACACAAGACAAAAAAGGATTGGCTATTAATTTATTTGTTTTTTCGATGGCTTATTTAGAATAAAAATATTTTAGTTTTAAATATTTTAATGTTCTGAATAATTCAAACGTTTAAAATTTAGTTTTCAAAACAAATTACTTAAATAATCCTAAAACATACTAAGATAAATACGAATCATCGTGGGTTGTATTTCTGTATATTAGTAACATTTTAGAAAATAGGGAAACATTATACTTTGTTTTGTGATCAAATATTTTCAACAAACAATTATCATGGGCGTGCGCACGGGAGCAGCAGAGACAGCTTATACTGTCCTTGGACTTTCTTTGGGACTTCCGGGGCCCGCAAATGTTAAATAATGGGCCTCGGTAAAATTATATTTCCACAAATGATTTTTTTTTCTTTTTTTGATAAAGTATAAATAAATATTTTATGATTATAGAATTTACCAGTATACAACTAATAGACCTGTCCACTATAAAAATAAATTGACATGATTTTTAATCGTAAATATTGTTATAATTTATGATCAACATATCTAAGAAATAAACTGGGTTTTTTAACGTTATCGTAATATCGTCGTTCATGATATTAAATAGCGATTAGCAATTACGTAATTGGTTGATTGAAACTTTTCTTGATTTTGTACGGTTAGTTTCTGTTAACGCTGAATCCATATTCACTGCTCTAAGTTTTTTTTTTTTTATTTCATATGACATACAAGATCTTAAGCGCTACACAATCAACAACTATTACAATATAATTCAAGTAAAAAATAAAAAATGTAAAAGAAAAATAAATCAATAAATCAATAAGAATATTTAAAATTTGTAAGTAAAATAAACAACTATATAAATACTTTATATTACTATATACAGCTCTAAGTAATATTATACATTCCAAATTTGGTATTGGTTGGTCATCAATAATTGCTGTGTGTTTTGATGGGGCCTCAACAATGTCTGGTGATTTTGGTGGGATACAAAGAAAATTCATAAATATGAATACAAACATTTTGTACGTGTATTACTATGCATACTGCTTGAATTTGTCATTATTTCTTCAATCGCAAGTAATACAAGTAACAAAAATCAAGTAGTATTTAACTTTTTAGGATCTGTTAAATATTTATACTCATTCATTGAGTATAATAGAGTATAGCAACCCTACGTGACATACTATTTTTAAAATATAACTAAAGAACATGGGTCTTAACTTAAAACGTTAAAGTCATGCTCAAGAACAAGGTAGACATGTCGCTCAGAGGCAGTAAATGCTATCAAACATAACTATAGTGAATTATTAAAAGCGTTAGACAAAATAATAATAAACAGTTCGTTGCCAGATGTAAAAATGTATGACTCAAGATTTAAAAGTCAAATCAAATAATTTTATTTTATTTTTTGTACGAATATGATACAACTTATTTTACAGTTAGTTTTGAATGTGAGTTCTCCGTTACAAACTCCATAAATGCAATTTACGTAAACTATACGAGTATGTTTTAGTTACTGATACTCGGAAGTTCTAACAAATGCATATTTTTCTTGGTTCATCCTAGAACATCCAAAGTAAGACACAAATATGTTTCACACTATTAGAATATTATAAACAAAATTTAATTTTGTTATTTTTTGCATATTTACGGGTTTTATTGCTATTTTGTTAATTTAGGGTTTATAGTGCTAGTTTCGGGTATATTTTCACATAATACAGGAAATAATCACATTTTGTCAATGATAATTGTATATACTTGATTATATTTTTAAAAATATTTGAATTTATGGAAATAAATAGAACTGATCAAATATTATTTTATGTTTTCATCGACAATTTGGTATATATATAATAGTTAGTGACGTCATTGTTATTACCTTATTATATCATTGTATTAGATTATTAAACATTTTAACAACCCGGGATAATTTCCAAGGTAAATATATTAAATAATTTAATAATAAGAACATTTTTACAAACATATTTAAGTAATTTAAAATTGTTGTGAACGGTTTATAATTTAACCAGTTTAGACTGTGTCTATAAGCTCAAAAATTAGTAAAATTACATTTAATTTTTGTTCTAATAAATTTATAATTTTTTCAAGTTAAATGCATATTTCTTTTTATTTTTCGTGCTATTTATAGTGCATGTTTTAGAGTTTTAAGTGCATATTTAAGAGCTAAAAAGTAACATTTTTAGTGCTACCACATCCGAGCCCTGTTGATATGTATAGTATCCTAAAAAACACGTTTTTTAATATTTTTATCGGATAACAGTAATAATAATAATAAATACACAATATTATTTTTTTAAATTAATTGATCATGTAGTGTATGGATACACGTTTTTTTATAATATTGCCCAATTAGTATAATAACTTATTAGTATATTTTAAAAATAACTACAAGTACTTACTACGAAAAGGTTGTGGAATGATAATTGATAACGCATTATCGCAGTTTTATATTATTGTTTATAAGCAATTTTGATCATAATTTATCTGAATTCGTATGAATACAATCACTAATACTTAATTTTAATAATGATACAATTCGACTGAGGAACAGTAATGTTTATACTCGTGAATATCATATTTTGATTTTATTAAACGAAAAACTAATTTTAAATTAGAAATTATGTTTTTGTCGATAAGCTTTTAGAAAAAACATATTTAATCAATCATTTGATTATTTGAATATCGATTATATTCTATAGTATTCTCTTAGTATAAATTATCGTGGTAATCGACGTAAGTAAACCAATCGAATAATAAGAATATATTTATTTGAGTATATGACACATAGCAGATACCCGAAAGCTTACGAATTAACGTGATTATACAAATTCACGGAGCCTTGTGGGTATAATAATTCAATGATTCACGTGGATAAAATTATAAGTACACGTGAAACTTTGAGCAACAGGTCATACAAATTAAACTTAAATTTCGGGTGAACAGGTGAAAAAAGTAGCTCTAATTTATACCTATACCTAATATTCGGAGTGTAAACCGTATTATATCAATTATTACATAAAATTCAGATTAGAACCGTTTAAACAGATAAATATATGATCTATATTTATAAAATACAAATATCACTCACCCACTCACTCGTTCACTGATCATTGTGGAGCCAAAACCATTAAACCGATTCATTCAAAATTTTGAGGGGATGTAATTACTACTACGCATTGAGAAAGGATTTTTCAAAATTATATTTTGAAGGGTCGAAACCGTTTTGGGTTGCAGACTGGACGGTATCTTCATACAATTTCATGTTAACATTAATATAATTTCATATTCATACATTTTCACGTTTTGGTTACGTAGGAATATATTTATTTTAATAATTACCAAATAAAGCGTATGTAAATTATGTGAAGACAAATAGAATAAAAATAAATATCTCGAGCAACAAGTTAACAGTTGATCCCAATATTATGTGTAACATTATACTCGTACATAAATATTTACCAATTAACTTTCTTATATACATTTATGGTTTGCAACAAAATGTACAACTATCTTGTTCCGTGTTTGTCCAAAGATGTATAGTACTTGTAAACTCAAACCAAAGTGTGATGACATAAAATGTCCACCTAACCAATTGTTTTATATACGTCTCACAGTTATAAATCTTAAAAATAAACGAACACACCCGGCGCCCACCGTGCGCACGCCTATGCATATCGTCAAACGGTACATGTTTCGCAAGAATTTACTAACTTTAAGGAGCATTATCGGACGCAGTTATAAATCAACGTAACATAAACGTGTACGTCAGTTATAATATTATCTTCGATCAGATTTGAATAAACTATAATAAAAAAAAAAAAAAAAAAACTAAAATAAACTATCAATAAACACGAATATCATTTGTATACGAATTATTAGTATTAATAATACAGTTAAAATACATTTTTAATCTTTATAACTTTAGTACAATATGAGTTTGTTCATAAGATATTATGTAAGTAATTTTTCACTTTGACATTGCATATAAAAAGGCATAGAGTAAAATTATTTGAACTAATGGCACGTTAAAATACATATAGGTTTTATTCTTAATTAACACTTAATGTTTGGTGTTTGTTATAGGTTAAACATAAATCTACTTTCTATATAACCGTATATATTACAGTTATGGTTTCTGTATTTTAGTTTTCAAACCGAGTACAAATGAGTAAAAACAAAGCTATACTGATAATATAAGTATAAATGTATAAATACAATAAGGGATCAAAGAACTATAAATTTTTAAAAAAAAATTAATAAATAGAACAGGAAATAAGAAACATGTTTTGAACTAAAGTCAAATAATACAATAATACACACTAATAATAATAATAATAATAATAATAATAATAATAATAAAATTAAATAAACACATTATATTACAATAACATTAATAATAGGTAGAATAATACATTTACTAATATTTTGAAGTGAGAGGACAATTTCTCAATTTATTTTTTATAACAAGTCTTCTAGTTTAATATCTACAATATTTTAATTTCTGGAATAGTATAGACTTGATACGGAATATAAATAAATAATTTCACTACACAATAGTAAAACAGGTGGACGCATTGAACGCATGAACCATTCGTAGTGCACCGTTGTTGCAGTTGTACATATCGTTTAAATGTACTTTTCGTCTTCTAAACATTTGACTCTTTTTAAATTGAACGAGCCTCTTTTGATATCTTGCAGCACTAAATCCACAATGCACACCTCCTCATCTTTGGGCACCATAGATCTCCTAGCTTGTACCTTAATACTTGGGTTGACTTTTTCTTTTTCCAATTTCGTAGCGAGCATTTGGTTCTTTTCCTCTTGCAAACGGCGGTCGATGTTTTCCTGTAGGAAACAAACATGTTTATTACTATTATTATGTTTATTTTAAAACGATTATTAGTACTATAATGCAACGGCATAACATAGATATTAAGTGTATGTACGCCTCGGAAGTAATACGAACATTCGTGTTCGAAATGTTTACGTGGATGACAGTTGAAAGACTGTCGTAATACGCATAACTAATTAAGTTAATAACCAAACCGTATAAGATGGACGTGACCTCACCTTGGCGACTACGTCGATTCGCTCGAAGAAATTTCCCAACAGTGCATAACACTCTTCGATTTTAAATTTTTTCGCGTCCTCGCCGAAGTGAACAGCTACCCTTCCAATTACCTCGGTCACGGTTCTGAACTCTTCGTTTAACGTTTCCACATCGATCATGGCTTGTTTCATAAAATCTAATCAATTCAAATATATTATTGATAAGAAAATCTATACTAAACTTAAAAATTTTGATTTTATTGAAAAAAAAAAAAAAAATCACTCAAAGAAAATTAGGTAATTCTAACATTTATCACACAAACATGGTTTCATATTTTATCCGATAAATTTTTGTTGGCCATGTTTTGTCACTTAACATTTTTTTGATACAATGACCGTTTTGACTTACCTGAGAATTGAGTATAA